AGTTACCATATGGCCCAGCAATTCTACTCTTAAGTATCTACCTAAGAGAAATGAGAACACATATCCACACGAAAACTTGTACACAAATGTTCATAGCAGCATTATTCAAAAAAAAAAAAAAAAAAAATAGCCCAAAAGTAGAAACAACCCAAATGTCCCTCAGCTGAGGAATGGATAAAAAAATGGGGTATATCTATCCAATGGATCATGATTTAGCCATGAACAGGAATGAGTATTAATACATGGTACAACATGACAAACTTTGAAAACATAACAGTCAGAAAAGACCATTTATTGTACAATTCTATTTACATAAAATGTGCAGAATGGGCAAATCTACACATACAGAAAGTAGATTCGTCTTTATCTAGGGCTGGGGTTGGAAGGGTGGAGGGAGACAGAGAATGGCTGCTAATGGGTACAGGGTTTCTTTTAGGGAGGCCAAAATGTTCTAAAATTCAATGTTATATAACCCTCTAATATATTCTAAAAATACTTAAAAAATTGAATTGTATATTTTACATGTGTGAATTGTATGGTATGTGAATTACATCTCAAAAAACGCTGTTAAAAAAAAGAATATTATTTTGCCATATCAACATCCAATTTGGGCTCCTTTTCTTAAACACTACCACATAAGAAATTCCACTTCCGTAACCCTCACTGAAATGATCTGTTTTCACAGCACTTGCTGTCTCAAGCAGGGCATATATCTTTATACCTCTGATGTCTGGCACAGCTTCTGGTACTTACTAGCCACCCAAATATTTATTGAACTGAAATAGCGGCAGTGTTGCAGTTAGTTTAAGAGGGAAAAGTTAGCCAGTTATTATCTTCAAGGACTCAGGGCCTCCTCTGCCCTCTCTCCTTTCCCCGTCCCAAATACATTATCACAGCAACAGTACTGTCTACTTTCCTATTTATGAAGCATTCTCTACTGCCTTAACTCACTTAAATCTAAAAAGGACTCTGTGTGGCGCCTGGGTGGCTCATTTGACACTGACACCCAGTGAGTGTCCACCTCTTGATTTCAGCTCAGGTCACGATCCCAGGGTTGTGAGATCAAGCCCTGTGTCAGGCTCTGTGCTAAGCATGGGTCCTGCTTGGGATTCTCTTTCTCTCTCCCCACCACTGCACATGCTTGCACGTTCTCTCTCTCTCTCTCAAATAAAAAAATAAAAATAACCTTGTGAGGTCAGTATGATTGTTATAGCCATTTTACAGAGAAGAAACCGACTCGGAAAGGTTAATCTCCAGTCCCCCTGAGACCCTGCCAGACTTGAGAGCCAGGGCCTTACCACTGTATGCTGTAGCCCCTTACATCCCTACCTTGGTAATAAGGCCCCTGCCCACTGGAGGCATGCTAGAATCACAAAGCAGGCTGACTGCAGATGCTTCACAAGTTTCTGGGTTTGTTTCATTTCAAAGTTGAAGAGAAATTATCCTTTTGGTTACCCATTGTTACTAGACTGGCAGTTCTCTGGCTGGAGCGGTCAAGATTTAAACTTCTCAGTCGAGGTATAAAATAAAAGCAGTCGGTTTTTCTCAGTCCCTGTGTTTTGTTGCAAACGTCTCTGGAGGTAAGAAAACTTGATTCTTATGATCAAAGTGCTGGGTCATGCTGTGCCCACGATTTTATTCATGTTGTTCTGAAGAAGCAGGTCATAAGCCCATTCGCTTGCTCTTCCCTGTGGCTGACCTAGTTGTGCTGCACGGCAGCTGGACAAATTCAGTTCAGCAGACATTTACTGATGGTGCCTTCCCTGGGCCAGGCAGCGCACAAGGAGCTGGAGATGCAGGGGTGGAGAAGCCCCAGTCCTTGCTCTCAGAGAGTCCCTAGTATTTTCCAGGTCTTTCCTTTAATCACGACATGCCATTGTTCTTTTGGCGAGGATTTGCATTAGTCGGCTTTTACATTTTAGTAAAATACAGCCACTCTTTCAGAAAGTTACTGTCTAACATACAAGAACACTTCGTGGAATGCACAGAAAGAGAAGAAATGACACAAATGTGTAGAACTCAGCAATGATGCAAACTGATGTTTCACTTCAGAGCCAGCCAGGTTGGATTCAGAGTTGGATGATGTCCTATCCCTTCAAAGATCGATAGAATCCATTTATAGGCTCTAAATAAAAGCATAAGGATTTACACAAAGGAAAGTTAACCCAGCTCCTCCCCATTCACATTTGCCGAGTTAGCACGTCAGCATCCCATGCATCTGTTTAAAAATGCTAGAGGGGCGCCTGGGTGGCTCAGTCGGTTAAGCATCCGACTTTGGCTCAGCTCACGATCTTGCAGTCTGTGAGTTTGAGCCCCGCGTACCGCTCTGTGCTGACAGCTCATAGCCTGGAGCCTGCTTCGGATTCTGTGTCTCCCTCTCTCTCTCTCTCTGCCCCTACCCTGCTCGTGCTCTGTCTTTCTTGCTCTCAAAAATAAATAAAATATAAATTTTTTTAAATAAATAAAAATGCTAGAAGTAATGTGCCAACATTATAGAAGTGAGGGAAATGGAGGAAAATTGCAAAGTAGTGTTAACACTAGTCACCTAAAATATCACTCCCCTGATACTGAGAGGTGGCTGGACCTTTGCACCTCAATCTCTTCATCTATAAAATTGGGAATACTTAGTACCTTCTTTAGAAGGCTTTGCCAGGACTAAACAAAGTAACAGTGCAAAGCACACACATACCACAATAAATGTGTACTTATTAGAGCAAAAATAATATTTTTCTGTAATCTTTTTGTCTTGTTTTCCCTGTTTGTTTTTTACAAAATTTTCTTGTACTTTTGTGTCTTAGTTTCTTGCTTATTATGTGATCATTTTCCATCTCACTGTGTGTGACTACTGTAATTCTTTAATGGCCATACGCTTCTGTGGTAGGGTGTGGGTGTACCACTGTAATTTATCCATTCCCCTGCTGTTGGACTTTTGGGCTGCTTCCAGTGTTTCGGTATTATAAATGGTGTCTCAGTGAACAGTTGTATGTATGTAGCATATTCACTCACTTACTGGGTCATTTCATCTCCGTCCTTGTTGCCCTGATGCTAAATGGGGTATAGAATACTATCTACCTGAGAGGATAGGGATGTGCGGATTGAACGAGGTAATACAGCAAAGCACTTGCAACAGTTCCTGGCCCTACCAGATGCTCAGCGGACATTACCACCTGACCTCTGTTTGGGTCTGTTTCTTTAGGCTCACTCTCCAGAGATGGGGTTGTCTCATTCCCTGCTTTCCGAAGGATTTTACCAGTTTATGAAGTCGATAATATTATATGAAAGGACCGATTTCTCTGCACTCTCTCTGGCAGTCATCCCAAGATGTAACTATGTTAACTCTCTTTCCCTTTAAAATAGTGAAAAAAATAAGTTTGTTCATATTTGGGCAGCCTGTTATGACCGGAACGCATTTCTGCTCACTGCCCTGAACAGATCTGATGTGCCAAGATTAGGTTCCAGAGGCTGTTTCTAAGTCTATTTTCATGAAGCTTGCAGTCCCCTCTGCTTTCCATAAAATTGTAGCATAAATTGGTCTTCGGAAGCTTCAAAACCCAGCATATTTTATTCCTTACTGAAGTACATACTATTGGGTGTCTTTATTTTTTCCAAAACAAAGCAGAAGTTTGCTCTAGGAATACCTGTAGTGGCCCATAAGAATTTCAATGATCCCTCCTCTCCTGTCTCCCCAGAGGAAATAAATTGGCAAGGTTCACCGTATGTTTGGGTTTGCCCAGTTTTTACTTATCCTAGTGTAATTACTCATCATGCCACCTTTACTCTCAGAAGCAACCTGGTTTGGATGATGAATTACACTGTCACCTCTTTCCCAGGAATTTCTCAGCAGCTGGGGTATCTCCCTACACTTGCTACCTCACCATTTACATGGAGGACTTTCTCCCTGTCCAACAAAAGCTTCAGCCACAGTGGAGGCAAAAGCTTCAGCCTCCCAGGTAACTGGGAGGTCCTCACATGTGCCCAGCCTGTTTTGAATGCACATTAGCCCAGTAGGCATTCCCTCAAGTTTTCACATTTTATCATCTCCCTCCCCTCCCCCATCTTGCTGATAATTGTCATAGGCAGGCCAGGGCACTTAAATTTATGTCAGAAGTAGTGTTATCCTTCAGAACTATATATTCTGCAGCTCAATTCATCCTCACATTTACCTCACATGTAGGTAAATGTAACATTCCTCATTCCTCACCGGTTGCAACTTAAAAAATGATACCTGCTTTCAAGAAGTTCATCTTAAACGTAAACCTCTTCTTACTAGAACTTTTAACACTCACTGCTCTTGTGCTCAAATATAAGGTCCTTTTATATTCATCAAGTATCTCAGAGGCACTCATGCAAACGCAGGAAAAAGGTTCAAGCTGAGTAAGCAGTAGCAAGTAGCAATAGCAAGGACGCATCTAAGGGGACACACAACCCCCAGCCCCATGATTGGTCCCAGGCAGAGTTTTGTTCACAGGATGAACCATCATAAGTATAGGACCTTCTACATTGGAAAAACAAAAACAGGGAAGCCTGGGTGGCTCAGTCGGTTGAACATCCGGCTTTGGCTCAGGTCATGATCTCATGGTTCATGAGTTCAAGTCCCGCGTCGGGCTCTGTGCTGACAGGTCAGAGCCTGGAGCCTGCTTCAGATTCTGTGTCTCCCTCTCTCTCTGCCCCTCCCCCACTCATGCTCTATTTCTGTCTCTCTGTCAAAAATAAACATTAAAAATTTAAAAAACAAAAACAAATCCGCTTCTCAATGGTGATTACCTTTTGTGCTTAGGTAACCATCATAAAGGGCTTTATGATTTGGAGGCTCTCTTTTCCCCTAACAAGCATCCGCATTCTTTGGGTAATGTATTCACAGCTTCAAAGAGGAAAAGCAAATGTTTTGAATGTGGGATGCTGCTATCTTGAGCTAGTGCAGGATGAATTTGGGGCTGTAGTTTATAGATTAGGATGTGGACTCTCAAGGAAAAATTTGTTTTTCCATTTGTTTTAACCAGGCGACTTTCGGATGGTGGTTGGAGAGGATAAGACAAAAGTGTTGAATATTGTGAAGCCCAACATAGCCCACTTTCGTGAGCTCTATGGCAGCATACTGCAGGAGAATCCCCAAGTGGTGTATAAAATCCAGCAAGGCAGACTGGAGGTAAACTGTGTGTGGGAAATAATTTACATTGTTCCTAAGGCAAGAGCTATTTTAAGAGGAAGAAGTAAGGGTTAGAACAGTATGACTAGTGTGATAACATTTGCAGTTTAAAAAGTAAGTTTCATATGGAAACATACTCTTCTGTGTATTTGGAATAATGCTAAAAAGTAACACAAGAGACTACTAATAAGAGGCCACCTTTGGGGAGAGGAACCAGGGCTGACATGGGAGAGGGACCTGTCTTCACCACGTTTATCTTTTTTTGCCATTTGAAATTCTTATTATGCATACTAATTACCAATCAAAAATGAGTGAAAATAAACTCTCAGATTTACCTTCTTTTCATCCCCAATCCCATTTGTGTCCCCAGATGTAACCTTACTGACAGTTTGGCATATATTCTCCCAGATCTTTTGTGTGCATTTTTGTATTTATTTGTACATATACACCTGTATGAAGAAGTTTGGTCTTTGGTTTTGTTTTATATAAATGGACTCTTACTTACACATACTATTCTGATGCTTATTTTTTCCCCAGTTGTTATGTTTATTATGTCTTGGAACTTTCCTTTTGAAATATCAAATAAAACTTTCAGAGTATCTTTAAAAATTATATTATTAAGTATTTGAAAATAAGTATTAAAGAACTTTTCCTTTGAGGAAAGTGATTTGGATTTAAGGGTTTTTTTTTTTAACTATAAAAAACACAGGTTTTTATTTTATGTTTAGCATAAAGAAGACTGTATTTTACCTTTTTTTTTTTTTTTAAGAGACAGAGAGGGACAGAGCACAAGCAGGGAAGGGGCAGAGAGAGAGGGAGACTCAGAATCCCAAGCAGGGTTCAGGCTTTGAGCTGTCAGCATAGAGCCCAATGCAGGGCTCAAACCCATGAAAGTGAGATCATGACGTGAGCCAAAGTCAGAAGCTCAACGACTGAACCACCCAGACACCCCTGCCTTTTACTTTTTTTAAAAAAAATTGTTTTAACATTTATTTATTATTGAGAGACAAGGAAAGATAGAGCATGAGCATGGGAGGGGCAGACAGAGGAGGAGACACAGAATCTGAAGCAGGCTCCAGGTTCTGAACTGTCAGCACAGAACTGGACTAGAACTCACAAAGCTGAGATGATGACCTGAGTCGGTTGGATGCTTAACCTACTGAGCCACCCAGGCACCGCCCCCCACCCTGTATTTTACTTTTTAAATGCTCTTCCTCTTCCAAATAAAAGGGACACCTAATAAGTTTTTTTTTTTAATTTTTACTTTTGTCAACATAATGCATGCATATGGGTTTTTTTTTTTTTTTTTTAAGTCTACTTATTTATTTTGAGAGAGAGGGAGAGAAAGAATCCCAAGCAGTCTCTGCACTAGCAGCACAGAGCCTGATGCAGGGCTCAAGCTCATGAACCGCGATCATGACCTGAGCCGAAACCAAGAGTGGACACTTAAGTGACTGAGCCACCCAGGCACCCAACATGCACGTGGTTTAAAAACCAAGTGGTACCTCACAGTTTATAACGAAAAGTAGCGGTTCCCTCCTGTGCACTTTCCTACTCCTCAGTGCTGCTTCCCAGAGGTGAGGGCTACCCTCTCGCTAGAAGGCCCGATGTTTACCTCCATGTCTCTAAACAATATGATTTGACTGTTATTTCTTGCTTTCCCCTCTTTTATGCTGCATTTTTGTCACCCGTCTATGAAAGAAGAGGATTTTTTTACTCTTATGCCACTCCCATCAACGTGCTGACTCACGCATGTGCATACGCACCCCCACCCCCCCACACTTCCCTTGCCACCTCACTTCCTCTTGCTTCACATACAGTTATTTCATAATTTTCGGTTAGGTTAATATTCAATATTTATTATGAGAACTTATTTTTCTTCATTGCTGAAGTATATTACTATGAAACTTCCTTTCCTGAACAAATTTGTTTTTCTTGGAGTTAATAATTGTCTCATTTTCTTCATTTGCTTGGTTTTCTGTGTACCTATCACTAATTCATACCCTCTTATAAATCTTTATAGCTTCTCCCCTTATAGACAAACATCAGGCATTTTCCGTTTCTTGTTTTTCTTGGGGACATTTCTTCCTGGAGCCCTGCGTACCCTGTCTTTTCTGGACTTGTTGTTTTCTAGGCTTGCTGCACAGCTCTTCTCCTGGAACATCTTTTCATTATCACCCTGGGGATTTTTTCTGCCTCTCTTCTTTGGTAATTTTTTATTTTCTGCATCTTTTATCTTCCTCTTTCATGGTAACACTTTAATTTTGGTGAATTGTACCTTCTAGTACCTCTCTAACATTGGTTGCGAGGAAGGTAAATTTTTTGAGACTACGTACATCTGGAAATTCTACCCTTGCACTGACTGATGGGGTCCATATCACATTCTAGGTTGGAAATAATTTTCCCGTAGACTTTTTAAGTCGTAACTTCACTTCTTCTAGTTTCTGAGTGTTGTGTTAAAAAGTCCAGCGGCAGGGGTGCCTGGGTGGCTAAGTTGGTTAAGTGTCCAACTCTTGGTTTTAGCTCATGTCGTGATCTCACAGTTCTTGGGATCAAGCCCTGCATCATGTGATTCTCTCTCTCCCTGTCTCTCTGCCCCTCTCCTGTTCATGCACATTTTTTTCTCTCTCTTTCTCTCTCTCTCAAAAATAGATCAATAAACTTAAAAAAAAAGTCCAATGACATTCAGATTGCCTGTCCTTTAGATGTGACCTTTTTAGCTCTTGGACAGTGTTTAGGATCTTTTCCTTTTTTCTAATGTTCTTAAATTTCATGATGGTTTGTCTTTATATATGTGTTTTTCACTATTATTCTGGCATTTCATGAACCTTTTCATCTGGAAATTCACGAGCTCCAGTTCTAGGAAATTTTATTATTTCTATAATAATTTTCTTCATACCCATTTTCTTACTTTGTTTTTCCTGGAATTTCTGTTAACTGGTTGTCAGACTGCCTGGTTTGATCTTTTTTGTTTCTCTTTCCTCTTTCCTGTTTCTTTGGGGATTTTGTTCTGCTTTCCAGAAGGATTTTTCAAATTGATCTTGTAGCACTTCTTTTGAATTTTTAATTTCCTCTGAATGTTCTTTTTTTCTTATAGCATCCTGTTCTTGTTTTACAAATGCATTAGCTTTCCTCAGCCCTTTAGTAGTCTTTATTATAATTTTTGAAGTTCTATCTTTGTCCCTACGTTGTCTCTGTTTCCCTTAGATACCTTTTTCATTTGATTCACCCTTGTCTGCTGTTAGAAGCTTTCCTCAAATGTTTGGATATCCTTTGTGTCCTGTTTTTAAAAAGAGAGGCACTCTCTGAAAATGCAGACTGGAAGTTCTTTGTGATGGACAGGGCTCGTCAGCTATGGGCTTCACTGCAGGATTATGGGGCAAGAGGGACCTGGCTTTTTCTTTAGAGGACCCCAAGTATCGGTATCTGTAGGATTTGTCCAAAGGGACATCATCTACTCCCTGGTTCGGGATCAGGAACGATAACATGCATACCTGCCAACTTTCAGAAAACTTTTGGGAAACTGAGCAAGGGGAAAGGGCTGGAAATTTTCTTTGACTGTGAATATAAACGTTTCCAAGTTCCTCACTATGGCCTGTGAAAGTCTGCATAATCTAAGTTCTCATTGTTCTCTTCGCCTGGGGAAACTTAAGGGGGTAAGATGAACTACAGTTCCCAGGCTGCATCTGGTCTGAAGCTGTAACTGACACCCACCTGCTCTGTCAGTTACTACCTATTCTAAATTCCCCTCACCCTCATCTGGCATTTGTGCTGGGCTCAACCTGGTGGCCCAGACCTTCATCCCTGAGGGGCCTGAGACCCGGTTACCGTGCCCATCTCAGGCTATGGTTGCTGCCCTTTCCATCTACCAGCAACATTGGGCAAGCGATGCCGAGAGATTGTGCCAGCAGCCCTACCTCTGATGATGAGGATCTGTTACTTCTGCCAGTATGGTGACTCCTTTCAGTGTCTGCTGGCATGGGATCTGAAGGCAGTAGGTGGCAGTCCTAGCTTCAAGTTTAAAGTCCTAAAGTTTTGGAGATGGGAAGCGCACATTTCCCAAGTGGGTCACTGGGAATGTTGGTAGGCAAGGCCGTCTGTTACACGCCTTGGTTCCCAGACCTATGTATTCCACCAGTTGAGAACATAGTACTAGATAGCAGGCATTACTTTAGGATGTGCACTGCACCCCGCATGCTCACAGAGTATCGTCGCCAAGCTGCTGCCTCAGCTGTTCTTCATTGTTCGGCCATAGCATTTTTTACCGGCAGCACTATTGGCATTTTAGGCTGGATGATTCTTTGTGATGTGGGCCCCAAGTTTCCCCTTTTTGAGAACTGCTCTATGAGTCTGGCAGCCTTGGTTCAGTGTTTGGTAGGAAGAGTGGAGCCATGTTCCTGTGTCATTGCTACATCTGTGTACCTCTTGTGCTCTAAAGTGGGTCCCCTAAGTGATGTTACACAGCACAACCATGTTGGGGAAGCAAGTATTCTGTAAGCCCTGGAATGGTGCTGGCTAGGTCCTGCGGGCAGGAAAGGCAAACCCATACTCAATATATGTGTTATTTCCAACTGAGATGAATTGCTGCCCCTTCCCATGTGGAAGGGTTTCAATGTAGTCAGCCTCCACCAAGTGGCTGGTTATTCTCAAGAGATGGTCCTATTTTCAGGATCTCAGTGTTGGCTTCTGTTGCTGTCAGGATAGAGTTTCCAAAGCAGCAGTGGCTAAGTCAGCCTTAGGCCTAGGCAGAGCCTCTATCCCCGTCACCATGGCTACTCCTTTGAGAAGCCAGATACCAGCACTGGGATGACAAAGGCTGTTGAATCAACTGGCTGAGTTTTTCTTTTGGTTATTGTTGGTTCTTTTGTGAAGGATGCTCATGCTGGACATTAACATACAATACAAAGACCCTAACACCTTATGCCCACCTCCAGTAGGTCCATCCACATACCTCTTCTTCCCAGTTTTTTGTCTTCAGTCTTCCAATCTTTTTCCTTTTAGGTGCAACCAACCAACGAACCATGCTTTGGTCCCCATGAGTCTTTGTATATTCTTAACTGGGCCCACTTTTCCATGTTATGTGCGTGACCAGGCACACTCCCTGAAGCATACCCATTTGGGAAGATTTTCCCTTAATGTCTTTCAGGGCCATCCCTGAGTGAGGCTGTAATGCATCATTTTTAGTTTGTACATGCCAAGTCAAATCCTCCATGAAGCAAGCTCATCCCTTATCTTCCCCCAAAATCCAATCACAAGGGAACCTCCCTGTAGCCATATGCATGACCCAATGGGAAAGTAGAACGGTATGCACTGGAACAACTGTGCTGTACTCTACGTTGTACAGCTGTACACAGTTGTGCCAATGCACAGTAGATATTATGGGGGCCTAGGCTTCCTGTTTGTGGAGCTCACTACTTCTGGCCTTACTTCTGTCCAATGCTAGTATACCCCTTTCATCTTCAGTGCAATACTGTTGAGCCTGCCTGACCTTAAGACTTGATGGATACAGGAGGTTCCAGCTCGTGATGGGCAGTTCTTGATGCATGGTGACTTGGTGACCCATGGTTAGGAGCTCCATCTCTCCATCTCTCCGTCTTGTATCTAGGAGCTGATTTCAAATGGTGTATGATTCTTCACTGCATATGGCAGGGCCTTGCCCCAGAACCCTAGCAGTCCACATTGTGATCTCCTTGAGGGAGTCTACCACAAGCTTCCTGTGGCTTCTTTTTATACTGAAGATACACTTCATACTATAGAGTTTACAGGGTTGTGTGGCCCAAGGGGTGGGGCCACTTGCACTGCTGCCTGGATCTTTCGTAGAGCTCTTTTCTGCTCTGAGCCTCACCAACCTGACATCCTTTTATATGACTTGGTAAATGGGTCTGAGCATGACACCCAAGTGTGGAATATGCTACCTCCAAAACCTGGAGGGCCTACCAGGCATCATGCTTCAATCTTAGCAGTGAGAGGTGCGAGATGCAAGAAACTGATCTTAACTTTGGGGAGGATGTCCCAGCATGCTTCACACCACTCGACGCCTAAACACTGATGTGTTTAAACTACTGATGTGGTAGGCTCCTGAAACTTCTACCCTCTGGAGTATGTCTATCTATCAAGGACTCCAGTGTGCTTACCCCTTGTTGTTTATCAGGTAACAGTAGCAACATACCAGTGATGTAGTGGACCAGTGTGAGATTATACAGAATGTCCAAATAGTCTGGTTTTCTTGGACTATCTTATGACAGAGGATGGGAGAGTTAACATAGCCCTGAAGCAAACCATAAGAGATACTGTTGTCTGTCTCATGAATGTGAGCTGCTGCTTTTTTTTTTTTTAATTTTTTTTTTCAACATTTATTTATTTTTGGGACAGAGAGAGACAGAGCATGAACAGGGGAGGGGCAGAGAGAGAGGGAGACACAGAATCGGAAACAGGCTCAGGCTCCGAGCCATCAGCCCAGAGCCCGACGCGGGGCTCGAACTCACGGACCGCGAGATCGTGACCTGGCTGAAGTCGGACGCTTAACCGACTGCGCCACCCAGGCGCCCCGAATGTGAGCTGCTTCTGATCCAACTGCCTAGTAAGAATGGAAAAGAATGCATTCCCCAGGTCTTGGCCCCATCCAGATACCTGCAGTTCTGTTGACTTGCTCTAGCAGATTTACTACATCTACAGGAGATGTAACAGGGACTTCTACTTGGTTGAGTTGTGGTAGTCTACTATAATCTTCCAGAACCCATTTGGCTTTTGTGAGGACCAGACTTAATGGAAATATGATGGAGACCAATAGGGTTCTCCAAAGAAACAGAGCCAGTCTGTGTGTGTGTGTGTGTGTGTGTGTGTGTGTGTGTGTGTGTGTGTATGTGTGTGTGTGTGTGTGTGTGGAGAGAGAGAGAGAGAGATTGAGATTTTAAGGAATTAAATTGTGGGGTCTGTCAAGTTTGAAATTTACAGGGAAGAGCCAGCAGGCTGGAGACCCGGGAAGAGTAGTTTTAAGTCTGAGGGCTATCTGGAGGCAGAATTCCTTCTTCCTCAGGAGACTTGAGTCTTTCTTCTTAAGGCCTTTGACTGATTAGATGAGGCCCACCTGCATTCTAGAGTGTAATCTGCTTTACTCAGAGTCTACTGACTTAAATGTTAATTATGTTGGACCAAGCAACTGAGCACTATAGCCTAGCCAAGTGACACAAAATTAAACATCACACCCCTGCATCTTTAGGTTTACAGATGGCATTAATCTCTGCCTTTCCTCCTGAAATGTGTTGGGTTTTTTTAGTTACTCTGTTGGATAAGAGGTAAAAATGGCAGCTTCAGAGGCTTCCACTTGCTTCCATATTATGACAACTCCAGAATGCCATCATGGAATATGCTTTTTAGGACCATTCCTGGTACCTATTAGTAGGATGGGAATTGAGTGGATCTGAAGCAAGCCCTCATCTGATCCTATGGTGGAGCTGTAGAGCTAGATGGCCCTTCCTAGTTATCCCAGCTTGGGGAAGAGAGGCCAGTGGTACCCCTTCATCTTCTCATCTTGGGATCCAATCAGCTCCCTTTGGTTGAGGATAAGTCTGAGAGAGACTGTAAGAGAGGGATCCAGCCGATTTTCCCAGCAGTTAGTGGAATGAGTACCTTGGCTCTTTAGCTCATCTGCTTTTTTAAAATGTCAGTTGTATTGAGATATAATTCACATACCATAAAATTCAGTGGTTTTTAGTGTATTTACAGAGTTGTGCAACTGTCACTACAATCTAATTTTACAACATTTCCATCAGTCCAAAAACATCCTTGTTAGCAGTCCCTAGCTCCCATTCCCCACAGGCAACCCCTAATCTGTTTTCTGCTTCTATGGATTTGTCTGTTCTGGACACTTCACATAAATGGAAACATACAGTATGTGGTCTTTTCCATATCTGCTTTTAAAATGCAGTTTGACTCTCACAATTTAGCTGAATGCTTTCACTACCATGTTTTAATGGACAATCAAAGAGTAAAGATAATTACACAGAATTTAGCAATTTATTTGAACATGTCACCTAATATTTTGTCTCTTGACACATGCCTATAAGCAAAAATTCCAGTGCATTCTTTTCCTCAAGAGAAAGCAGTAGCAAATACTTTTTTTTTTAATTAAAAAAATGTTTTTATTTATTTTTGACAGAGAGTGAGAGAGAAAGAGCGCATGTGAGCCAGGGAGGGGCAGAGAGAGAGGGAGACACAGAATCCAAAGGAAGGCTCCAGGCTCTGAGTTGTCAGCACAGAGCCTGATGTGGGATTGAACCATGAGATCATGACCTGGGCCCAAGTCGGATGCTTAACCGACTGAGCCACCCAGGTGCCCTGCAAATACTATTTTTTAATTCCTCATATTACTCAAGCCATTTGGCATCTCTGAAATTCCTGAAAGTTTTATAGATAAACCCTTACAGAAATATAAGGTCTTTTTGGCTAATCTCAATTCTTAGCCCCAAAATATGAGTCCATAAACGTTATTTCTAGCAAATCTACAAGAATGTCCACATTTTTTGTCCTTTGTCTAAGCAAAGCTAAACAGTGGTCAAATCCTGTGAATTTAGAACCATCTTAATGATGAATATGAAATATTCAGGTTAAAAAAAAACCTTTACTTTTACTGGAGCCACAAGATAATAGTATTTTCTTCTTATTTGCATTAATTTTATAGAAAACTAGAAAATCCAGGCATTAATACTCAATAAATACTTGTGGAATGAAAAAAGGTGGTTGAATGAGTGAATTCTAATTGTTAAGATGTTAGTCATATCTGGAAAATCTGAATCTAAAATTGAATACATTTGTCTAATTTTTTTCTTATTGTTCTCTTAGTCAAAGTTAAAACCTAAACATTTGTTGAAAGGGTACAAGACAGATTCTTACCTGGAAAATAATGGATGAGCTGTTGAGGGCAGGGTTACTGGTTCTCACCTTGGCAGGCAGTCAATGTTTACATGATTTTGTAAAAACTTAGTTCCATGGAGCAAAGTATATTAAACTGGAGTTAGGGAAGCAAGGTGTGGCCTCGGCTCTGTGGCTAACTTTTGATTCAAAGTAAAGTCTGATGCATAGTTTTGTATGTTTTGTTTCTGTATTTGTCTTTCAACTTGATGTATTTAGAATTCTTGGGAATAGAAACCACTGGTTTCTATTTCTTACCTAATCCTAGGTAAGAAATAATGACAACTAAGTTTTATTGATGCAGGTATACATTCCTTTATTCAACCAATGTTTTTTGACTACCTCCTGTGTGCCGGGAGATTAAAAGTGAATAAGCTTAGTCCTTGTCATCAATTTATTCCTACAGTTTATGAAACCCAGCATGGTAAGTCAAAGTCCCAGAAGGCAGGAGACACAAGGTTAGAGCACCCCTCTCTCCTACTGGCTGTATAATCCTGGATGTGTCACTCAGCGCCCTGCCCCTCTGTTTAAAATGGAGAGAGAGTTTGAGCGCCTGGATTTGCTGAACCTCAGTGAATGTTAACTGTAGCCTCACTTCCTTTAACTGCTGGATTTAAGACAAATAGAAATTTTAAAACTGAGAGTGAGAAATTGATCCTTGAAAGAGGCTTCTATTCTTTTCTCATGTAAAAATGGACTATGATAGGAAAAGAAGTGGCTTTTTTGAAGGAACATAGGATCTGAACTCTTAGGCATTCAGTTTCAGAAAAGGAGTAAGTCTCCTTAGTATGCCGCCCAGGGTATGGGTTCATGTATGTTTGTGTGACTTGAAAACCATATGTCCTTGAATCTTTATAGAATTCAAAGAACTTGCCATAGATATTATCTTTTTTTTTTTCTTAGATAGATAAAAGCCCAGAAGGACAATTCACTCAGCTAATGACATTGCCCAAAACCTTACAGCAACAAATAAATCATGTTATGGACCCTCCTGGAAAAAACAGAGATGTGGAAGAAACTTTATTACAAGTTGCTCATGATCCAGACTGTGGAGAGGTGGTGCGACGAGGTATGTTTATGAATTTGACGTTGAGGAAGTGCTGGCCGTGGGTAAAAAGCAAACTTTGTGACGGTGACATATTCTTTATTCTTTTTTGCTTAATTGAGATCAAGAGACAGATTGTCTCAGGGAAGAAGAAAGCACTAACAATCTGGGGTTTTTCCAAATCTAAATTGTCATTTGTTTGAAGTAGGGTGGCGTAAGTACTTCTGTTTTCAGATTCCTGGGTCCTAAATCACTGTCAAAGGGGGAAACAATGTTTGTTTTGGTTCCAAGAGCATAACTTCTAGAAGTTATTCCAAAGACTCCTCTGTGTTCTTCACGGTGGTCTGAGAAGGAAGGAGACTGGTGACATTTTTAGTGCTTTTGTAACATCAGGAATACAGCTTTCATCAGCCAACTCCCCTTCGATGTGTCTCTGTGTGTTCACTAGGTTCCCTCTGACGTGGCCCGTAATATGTTCCACATATTATCCCCAGGGCCTTCCATGTTTACCCAAAAATCTTATCTTCGGAGACCCACTTCCTTTTGGAGGTGTTAAAGATAATGTAGAAAGGCAGTCAGTAAAGAAATAGTTAAGATTGAAAACAACTCCCTCCCCCACATATCATGTTTTCCTGTTTTACTGAGTACATATTTTATGAGCTCCTCAAGGATGCGGGCTCCTGCGCTAGATGCTCTTGACCGTGACGGTACTGAGCGTTAACTCCAGTGGGCGGACCCACATACTCTCTCGGGGACCTGCCCCAGGCTGTCAGAGCATGCATTCAGGTTACTATGTACCTATTCTGAAGATGAGTGAGGAGGCATATTGTTTGTTCTTTCCCACTTTAACATGATTCTGGTCGCAGGAGTCCTGTATATGTTTTCAGAATGAAAGCTCTTCTCCTAGGCAGAAACTTTGGGGTTTTTCTTTTAAGTCATTTCAAATCTTGGGGTTGAGAACCAGCAGCCTTAAGCAGATTTAAAGTCATAAAATGACCTCTGAGGGTGACTTAATCCACCCCTGTTAATAAAGGTGAGGAGGACCAGGCCCAGAGGGGACATGGCCCCTTGTGCTCACAAGGTGGTGCTCACAAGTTGGTGACATGGCCGGCAGCTCCAGGCTACTGGCCCTCAATTCTGATACCCTTCCCACTGTCATTCTGTGACACCAGGACAGAGATGGATTTGCTCATTTTATTGGATAACTGGAAAGAACATTTAGTTTTAGGTTTTAAAAGTGTTAAGATGACTAACATCTGGATTTTTTGGCCTCCTTGTTGTTTTTTTCTCACAGGGCTTTCAGCAATTGTGAGACCTTCTAGTATGAAACAGAGCACCAAAGGCATTTTCACTGCCGGTAAGAACTTTGGAAAATCTATGCTTGATGTGCCTCCTGGATTGAGTGGCCTCAGCACTCCTGATTAAAACATAAAGCTTTATCTGCATCCTGCAAGTACTTCTGAAGTGCTGAATTTTGATGGGCATGAACTAGGACATAGCAATGGCGTACAGACAGACAAAACAGAACTGTCATCTGGCCTAGAGAAGTCAAACCATGGGAGGTGATGTTGGAAGCCTTGCTCCCCTCTCAGTTCTCTGAACAACTCCTCATATACAGCTTGTCCCCTGGCTTTTGGATTTCTGAAAGTTGCCTGTGCCTATTGTTGCAAAAGCGGCAGTACCTTGCCCTTCCCCCCACTGCCCCTCTCCAGAGACCCATAGTGGGTGCTTTGTCTGCCCTGCCCGTTTTCTCTGTAGTGGGTGCATGCTGCTGCCTCCCTCCGTTTCAGTTCCAGGCATCATCTGTGGACTGCTCGCTCTGGCAGGTTAGATTTTGGCTCTTGCACCCACCCTGCCCCACACACTCACCACTCCCATCCCTTGGTCCTAAGGTAGTTGCTTCGACGAAGTCAGTTGCCTGAGTTTACAGCATATGACTCTGCTATTGTGATTCATAGGTGAGCCACATCATACGCTTTGCTTTCCCTGCACCACTGTCTTTTCCCACGTAGATCATCTTCCATGTCTTGCAAGAGGGATCCCGTCTCCTGACTCTTGTGCCTTTTGTTTTTGCGGTGCCCGCTCTCATTTTGGGGAAGCACGCCATCCAGTCATTTCCTAAGAAAGGATGCAAGGAGGCAACTCTGGAGACCGTGTACAACTCGAAATATCTTTAGCTTACCCTCACATGGAATTGACACTTAGGCTGGAGAGAGATAGAAATCATTTTTTAAAGAATTTCAATATTATTATTCCAATTGTCTTCCCACTTGAGGATTGCTATCGAGGCCCAATGCCATCCTGCTTCTCAGTCTTTCATGTGTGTTCTTTCTGGAAGCCGATTAGGTCTTCTCTTGCCCCAGGGCTCTAACATTTCTCAGGGATATACTTTGATAATGAATCTGTTTTTATCTATTTTACTGGGTACTCATTGCCCTTTCATTTTGAAAACTCAGAAAAAAAGAATATAAGAAAATGTTCTTTTATTGTTGCTTTAAGTTCTCATCTGTTTTCTCTCTTCTCTTTCTGGAACTCCTTTTTTTCAGATATTGGACTCCTTTGGTTTTGAAGAGCCCTTTGGTTTTCTTTCATCTGTGTTTTTGTTTTTGTTTTTGTTTTTTTCTCTTTATCTTTTTGCTCTGCTTTCTGGGAGATTTTCTCAAGTGTAGTTTCCAACCCTTCTATTGAGGTTTTTGTTTGTACTATTATATGTTTTAATTTCCAGGAGCTCTTTCTGTTTTGTTTTGTTTTGTTTTGTTTTTTATTCTCTGAATGTACATTTAAAAACATTTTTTTTTTAAACATCCTGCTATTGTCTTATGGGCCTAAGCATTTGAACATAGCTTTGGATATTGCTACACTGCCCTCCAGAATGATTGTATCAATCTATAGTCCTACTAGCAGTAAAGGAGAGTTCTCATTCCCCCCCATTTTCTCCAGTACTTGGTATTGTCAAATGATGGACTTTCCTAGTTCAGTCTTTTGTGATGTGACCATCTACTGAGCCTCTCTCATGTGCTAGCCATGCAGGATACAGAAGTGAACACAACACCATCCTGCCTTCAAGGAGTTCATAAAGTAGATGTATAAATTTGCAGTAACAAGGGATAGATGGCACAGAGCTAACCCAGAGAAGCGAGTAATCTTCCAGCCTGATTCTGATCCCTGGGCTGAGATTGCCAGGAAGCTGGTGTGGTCACACCTCTTAACCTCTCACCCCAGCTGCCTGGATACCCAGCACAGCGTTTGGCCTCGAGGACACAGTGTTGCCTTCCTGAATCTTTGGGAAGATTCAGCCAAAAATTCAACAAAGATTTAGTAGCACATGTGCCAAATCTACTCAGCTAAAGATTTTGCTACCACTCAGGAGTGTATAGCTTTGCATTTCCAATTAAGATATTTAATCTATGATCCTGCTGGCTTATCCTAGCAAGGTGAAGATGAGGTGTCTTTGCTTGGGTGGTTCAGGCTATTAATCTGTGATTTGCATGATTGCAGCTTCTTGGGTGGGGCTGAATGCTTTTTTTTTAATTTTTTTTCTTTTGAGCCTCTTGTGCTTTAAAGAAAGATTCATGGATTTTTTTTTTAGTTGTGATCATGTTTTAAAATGTTTCTTTTAGAAACTAAATTAAAATTTTTACAGATGAAAGGACAGGATGTCTGAGATTTGCTTCAAAATCAAACATGGTGGAGGGAAGTGGGTAAGGGGTAGATAACACCAGATTGGCCATGAGTTGATATATTGTTGAAGCTGGGTGAAGAAATGAGACATACTGTAATATTCTATTATAGTTTGAATTTTTCTCTAATAAAGCATTTTTCTAAATCCATCATCATCTTGAGCATCAACCTGAAATCAATCTTTGGTCCTCTTTCCACTCATTCTTTCCAGTGGCCAGCAGAGGGCAGTGGGTGACACCTAACAGAAGCCACAGCCCAGTGTTTCCTTGTGGCCGTCCTAGTGCCCAGTGCTGATTCTCCTGAGTGCTCACTGCCTGCTTCCTTTTCCTTTCTAAAGATGCCTTATCGGATTGTGGAAGCCCAGAGTAACAGAATGTATGCAGCCTGCTCTGAGGGTGCAGAAATTGTGCAAAGTGTTGGGCATCCCTTCAAGGTCCATGGGTTTACTGACCTCACACTCTGGCTTCTCTGGTTTTACGGTGGTTTGGGGCTGTGATGAAGGCAGCCCAGGCCAAGGGCAGGGGTTTATGAGCCCCAGAGACTAGGGTTCATATTCCAACTTAAGTACTGTGCCTTGGGCAAGTTACCTAATTTTTCTGAGTTTTAATTTCATAGGGATAATTAAACCTGCCTCACCAGCTTGTGAAAATTACATCGTAGGATATATAAACGCATCCAGCACTGTGCCTGATCTTTCCCTTTTTGCTATTATCACCTAAAAGGTTTCGTGACCCCTCCTTAGAATATGCGTCTTTGCACTGTCATATTCAGATGGCATGAGCCCACCCATTAACCAGGTCTCCAGTGGGAGTAAACTACAAACAAAAGGGCCTGAGTGGCTGGTTTACTGTTTGTCTTCCCTCTCATTTCACATCAAGCTTCTGAACCTCTATGCTTCTGTACGTTGTTCTTTAGAAGTCCTTTTGTTGTGGTCATGGCTGTTGTTCTGCTTGCTGCACTAAGACAAAATCCACCAAGTCCTACCTGTGTTCAGTTTTTCAGCTAGCTGGTGCATCATGTGCAGGTGAGAATCCCAGTGTATTTGATGGAGTTTGTATTCGTTATTAGCCATTCTCATGCCTCCCTTCATAGTCTCCCACTGGGGGGGAGGGGTGAAAAGGAAGGTTCATACTTCCCCCTTAGCTAATGAATACCTTTTATATTGAAATATGGTTAGCTTCAGAGGTACATAGCTAACCAAGGAGCTAAGCTTCGGGTCAGAAGGCCTGGACTTGTGTTGCAGTTATTCATTTGTTGCCTCTGTAACCTTGGTATGTTAATTAGCCCTTCTTCCTTGAAATGGAGGGGTTACTAATACCCAGCTCAGTACATGTTCTGAGAGGGTCCAGTATGTACCTAGTAGGTGCTTTATAAACTTGGGTGAGTCTAGATCTAAATTTCACTCTATTCCTAGGAAAGATAGAGGCCAGGCATCTATAACCAGCCCAGAGGATTGCCTTTTCTTTTTTTTATTTTTTTTTTTTAATTTTTTTTTTCAACGTTTATTTATTTTTGGGACAAAGAGAGACAGAGCATGAACGGGGGAGGGGCAGAGAGAGAGGGAGACACAGAATCGGAAACAGGCTCCAGGCTCTGAGCCATCAGCCCAGAGCCTGACGCGAGGCTCGAACTCACGGACCGCGAGATCGTGACCTGGCTGAAGTCGGACGCTTAACCGACTGCGCCACCCAGGCGCCCCAGAGGATTGCCTTTTCTAACAAAATGTTCGATAGCACGATTGCCTGTTCTCATGTGGTCTTACTACCTCCAAAGCCAAACACTGTTTTCCCCTTTTAGACTAACTCACCAGCAGCTCAGGAGAAGTGAAAGGCCATTTAGTCTCCTGATACTGGCCTGCTCCTCTTTTCATGGTGGCAGCAGATGGCATCACATCTCAGACTGGTCACAGAAGACCAGCTAAGCAATCTGTCATATTCTTTTTTTTTTTTTTTTTTTGAGAGAGAGACAGAGCACAAGCAGGGAAGGGGCAGAGAGAGAGAGGGAGACACAGAACCCGAAGCAGGTTGCAGGCTCCAAGCTGTCAGCACAGAGCCTGATGCAGGGCTCGAACTTGTGAACCACAAGATCATGACCTAGGCCGAAGTCAGACGCTTAACCAAGTGAGCCACCCAGGCGCCCCACAATCTGTCATATGCTGATCAGCAGCAGCCTTCCCGTTAACAACCTGCTTCAGTATTCTGGTATGGGAATACGAGAGAGATGGTGGAATATAGTGATGAGAAGTAAGCAGAAGCCAGTGAAGGGGGGCCTGAAAAGCCAGGCAGAGGAATTCAGAGTTTATTTTGAGGGCAGAGGGAAGCCACTGAAGGATTGTAGCAAGACCTCAATGGCTACAAAGAATAGAGAAGAGAGAGAGGGAAAGGAGATAAAGCTATTGCTTGGGAAACTGATTAGCTCTGGTTGCAGCCAGTCAGTGGAGGAGTTAGGCAGTCTGAACTCAGGTCATTGCAGGCAGAGAGGAGAGATGTACACAATATTGAGAGGGCAAGTTACCTGTTCCAGATGATTGGAGGGACATGGGAAGTGAAGGAGAGAGAGGAGTCCAACAGAATTCCCAGGTTTCTGGCTTGGAAAGCAATGGATGTTGCTGCCATTCCCAGAGGTGGGGGCAGTCAGGGAGGATGATGAGTTTAATTTCTGAAATCTTGCTTTATTTTTCCCCACCTCACTTCCTGGTCAGTCATAATTGACCCTGGAGACAGATACCTATTTACCTCTCTAGCTTCAAAGGATTCAACTGAATTAACAAAACAGGTTTAGTCTTGTTCCTAAAAAGTTTCTGACATACCTGAGGGGTTCCTTACCAGCCCTTTCCTGGAACACAATAGAATGATCATTGATTATCCTCTGCTTCTGATTTCTTATTACTAAAACACTTCTTCCATTTTTTGGTACCTACATATTAAATAAGAAGAACGTATAATAGTTATGGGGTTTTTTTTCCAGTTTATTATTTAACCCAAGAGTCCTTAAAATAAGTTGTACTTCTGCTTCAAGAGATTTTCTTCGTAGATAAGGTCTATGATTGGAAAATAATTGGAAGACTGGGGCTTGCTGATTTTCCCTCATAAATATCTGAAAAGTAGAATTATGGGAACGGAGAGACCTCTCACAACCTACTCCTGTCTCTGCCTCACATTGCTTCCTGGAGAACTGTGTCTGTCATCAGACCCGTCTTGTTTAAAGTCACATAGAGATTCATGGTCTTACATGTGAGTAACTTTGCTGCAGGTCACATGGAACAAGATAGAAATCAACAGAAGTAAAACCTTAGGAGCCATATGTTGAAGTAGATGTCTATATGCTTCCAAAACAGATCTGACTTTAGATACTAATCAAAATCCATAATGACTCACTTTAGGTAGATAAGAATCTGTCTAAAGACACGGTATCTAAAGAGATATTCCATCTTTATCCTTTGGAGAAGGAGCAAAGACAATGACGGTGGTTCTAAATGTCTTCCCCCAAGACACATTCTAAATACAGACTTCCTAAATCACCATCCTTTTCTATAGAAAGAGAGCAGAAACCAAAAGTAGACTTAAGGTAAGCCAAGTAGAATTCTGTGGATTGTAAACTGTAAGAGCAGAAACCATAACTGTTGTCCATACCAGTATTCCCAACAGCTAGCTCGGTGTCTAGTATTATATAGATGCTCAATAAATACTGGCCCAGTGTATTTCAGTGACCGAATAAATCAAAGATTCGAGGCTTTTGGTAGTAGAAAAAAAATCTCCATATGTACAGAAAATGCATATATCAGAAATTTGGTGAATTTTCACAAAGTGAACACTCATGAACCTAGACCCAGATGAAGAAATAGAACAGAACCATCCCCCAGACGGTGTGCCAGTCAAGGTCACTGTTCCTCCAGTAGTAACTAGTGTTTGACTTCCAATGCCTTGCTTCTGTTGTGCCCATTTTGAACTTTAAGCAAATATGTAGTCTCCTGTGTCTTTCACTCCCCATTATATCAATGAGATTCAACATGGTGGTGGGAGCAGCAATAGTTCATTTATCCTCATTGCCACGAGCCCACTGTATGATTATACCACAGTTTACCCACTCTATGTTAATGGTTTCTTGGGTTGGTTCCACTCTGGGGCCATTATAGGTAGTGCCACTGTGAATGTTTCTGTACCTGCCTTTTGGTGAGCAAACCTGTGCATTTCTCCTAGGTGCATACTTAGGGGTGGAATTACAAGATCATAAAGTATGTGAATGTTCAACTTTGGTAATACTACCTAATAGTTGTCCAAATTACACTCCCACTAACTGAGCTCCTGGAGCTCCTCCTTACTTGATACTATGTCTTTTTCATTTTAGGCACCCTGATAGGTGAGTAGTGGTATCATATTGGAGTTTTAATTTACATTTTTCTGATGGCTAACGAAGCTGGGCATTTGTTCCATGTTTATTTGGATATCCTCTTTTGTGAAGTGCCTATTCTAGTTTTTTTGCTCATTTTTCTACTGAATTGTCTATCTTTTTGTGTTTTTCATTTTTTTTTAACGTTTATTTTTGAGAGAGAGAGAGACAGAGACAGAGACAGAGAGACAGAGCACGAGCAGGGGAGGGGCAGAGAGAGAGGGAGACCCAGAATCCAAAGCAGGCTCCAGGCTCTGAGCTGTCAGCACAGAGCGGGGCTCAAATTCACAAGCCGTGAGATCATGACCTGAGCTGAAGTCGGACGCCCAACTGAGTAAGCCACCCAGGTGCCCCTGAATTGTCTACCTTTTCTTACTGAATTCTCTGTAAAGTCTGGATACAGGTCTTTTGTCTGATATGCATAGCGCAAAAGTCTCCCACTTGGTGGTTGTCACTTCACTATCTTGATGGTGTATTTTTTTAAATTTTATTTAAATCCAAGTTAATTGTATATAGTGTAGTAATAGTTTCAGGGGTAGAATTTGGTGATTCATCACTTACATATAACATCCAGTGCTCATCCCAACAAGTGCCCTCCTTAATGCTTATCTCCCATTTAGCCCATGCCCCCACCCACCACCCCTCCAGCAGTCCTCGGTTCTATGTATTGAAGAGTCTCTTATTGTTTGCCTCCCTCTCTGCTTATATCTTATTTTTCCTTCCTTTCTGTTTTATTTCTTAAATTCCACATATGAGTGAAATCATATGATATTTGTCTTTCTCTCACTGACTTATCACTTAGCATAATACACTGTAGTTCCATCCACATTATTGCAAATGGCAAGATTTCATTCTTTTTGATTGCTGAGTAATATTCCATTGTATATATACAGTACAGTAAAACATGGCTACATGGTGATGCTCATGTACTTTAGGTATTCTTTATCCATCTTCTTTATCCATTCATCAGTCGATGGACTCTTGGGCTCTTTCCATACTTTGGCTATTATCAATAGTGCTGCTATAAACATTGGAGTACATGTGCCCCTTTCAATCAGCACTCCAGTATCCTTTGGGTAAATACCTACTAGTGCAGTTACTGGGTCACAGGGTAACTCTATTTTTAATTTTTTTGATGAGCCTCCATACTGTTTTTCAGAGTGGCTGTACCAGTTTGCATTCCCACAAGCAGTGCAGAAGTATTCCCCTTTCTTCACATGCTCACCAACATCTGTTGCTTCCTGAGTTGTTCATTTTAGCCTTTCTGACAGATGTGGCGTGGTATCTCTTTGTGGTTTTAATTTGTATTTCCCTGATGATGAGAGATGCTGAGGATCTTTCCATGTCTGTTAGCTATCTGGATGACTTCTTTGGAAAAGTGTCTATTCATGTCTTTTGCCCATTTCTTCACTGGGTTATTTGTTTTTTGGGTGTTAAGATTGATAAGTTCTTTATAGATTTTGGGTACTAACCATTTATCTTACATGTCATTTGCAAATATCTTCTCCCATTCTGTCAATTGCCTTTTAGTTTGTTGATTGTTTCCTTCACTGTGCAGAAACTTTTCATTTTGTTGACGTCCCAGTTGTTCCTTTTTGCTTTTATTTCCCTTGCCTCCAGAGTCATGTCTAGTAAGAAGTTGCTGTGGCCAAAGTCAAAGAGGTTGTTGCCTATTTTCTCCTCTAGGATTTTCATTGTTTCTTGTCTTACATTTAGGTCTTTCATCCATTTGGGGTTTATTTTTGTGTATGGTGTAAGAAAGTTGTCCATGTTAATTCTTCCGCATGTTGCTGTCCAGTTTTCCTAGCACCATTTGCTGAAGAAGCTGTCTTTATTTCCATTTTCTTTCCTGCTTTGTCAAATGTTAGTTGGCCACACATTTATGGGTCCATTTCTGGGTTCTCTATTCTATTCCATTGATCTATGTGTCTCTTTTTGATTACAACTTTGTAATACAGCTTGAAGTCTGGAATTGTGATGCCTCCAGCTTTGGTTTTCTTTTTTAACATTACTTTGGCTATTTGGGGACTTTTCTGGTTCCATACAAATTTTAGAATCATTTGTTCTAGCTCTGTGAGAATGCTGGTGTTATTTTGATAGGGATTATATTGAATGTGTAGATTGCTTTGAGTAGTATTGACATTTTAATAATATTTGTCCTTCCAATCCATGAGCATGGAATATTTTTCCGTTTCTTTGTGTTTTCTTCAATTTCTTCTATAAGCTTTCTATAATTTTAAGTGTATAGATCCTTTATTCGATGGTTTCTTTGGATGAAAAGATGCTCTTAATTTTTTTCAGTCCAGTTTATCAATGTCCTTTATGGGAGCAGCTTTTGTGCCCTGTTTAGGAAATGTTGCTCACTCCCAACCTCATGCACTGTTATTCTTCTACCTGAATTGCAGTTAGAATATTAAGGCCGAAAGAATTCTTTGTTCCAATCTGTTGGTTCTTAACCTTCTGCAAATCCTGGCTCCCTGTGAAAATCTGACAAAAACTGCACACTCTGCACAGAAGTGCACACGTGCACACACACAGCAAACTTTCCTACAGTTTCCTCCTCACTTTCCTACAGACTGACGTTGTTAAAGAACCCTGAACTAGTCCAACCAGTCTTTTTGCAGATGGGAAAGTCAAGGCGCAGAGAGAGTGAGTCACAAACTGTAAGTTTGTGGTCCAGCTGCAACTAGATTTCAGGTCTCTTGACTCCTATTCCAGTGCTCTTTCTAACACAGTTCCCTCCTGCAGTCTTTCTGAGACTCACTCTGTCAGAGCCATCAAAGGGAGAGACCGTTTTCAACGAAGAGAGGTTTCTGTGCAGTAGCAGCAAACCATGGCTACATGGTGACGCTCATGTACTTTAGGTATTTACCTTAAATGTTATGCTCCAAGGAGTCTGTATGTAAGTTTGTGAAGTTGCGCTGGGACTTATCATGGTTGATGCATCTTCCTCTAGCTGTGACTCAATGCCCTGGGGTTGCTATGTTGAACCTTACTGTATGCACCACCTGTGTTCTGTTTAGTGTCTTGATTGGCTCCGGCTGGAATATTAAAAAAAAAGAACCTTACGTAATAAGTTTCCAGTCTCAATGCTCAACTGGGTGAGGTTCACCAAAGTGGTTGCTCCAGGGAGAAAATTAAAAGAGGCGGAGGCAGGGAAAGGAGCTCTGAGTTTCTTGACTACGCTATGTCAGTTTGCAAATAATCAGTAGAAAAGCTGGGCCAGAGTTTCTAGAAGTATTCGCTAACAATTTTCCTGATATGCTGCCTTTTTACCCACCACTGCCTGCAGTAGCTTCTTCGAAGGTTCTGAGTGGACTGGGCAGCTTCCAGGTAATACGCCCAGGTATTTTCAAGAGACCACTCAAACCCCCATAGTAGGAGTCTCCAGAGTTAATCCTGTTACTCATCCACAAAGCTTAAGGTGCACTGCCAGAAGTGTGTGTTTCAGACTTGCAACACACACCACAATTTGTATCTCATGATGAAAAAGACTGTTGGGATCTTTGGGCCACACCCTGACACACAGACTAAATGATCTCATCCTCAGCACAAAGGAAGTTGAGCCCATAATACCGTCTGCAAATTGGATCCTATTAGATCTGACAGACAAATAGCATCCCATTATTCTATCCCATTTTACTTCTGTCCCATTGGCCCCCAGAGAGCCTCTCCTCCGGTTTCATCAGGTACTTGTGATTAAGTAGGTGGGGAGCTAGAACGTCACATATCTGGATGAGGTGCATCTGTCACATCATTTCAAAAGCATATACCGAATACCTGCTATGTGCCAGGCACTGTACTAGATGATGGGGATGCAGGGACAAATGAGGCATGTTCCCTGTCCTTAAAGAGCTCCCAGTCTAGGCAGAGGGACAGCTCAGTAAACTGACAAGCACCACTCAGTGTGGTAAGTGCTGTACGCGTGGCCAGCACAGGTGCTGTGGGACCAGGAGGACCAGCATCTGAATCGGCCTGGGGGGTCCAGGAAGGCACTTCTGCAGAAGGAATCTGAAAGGGGGATGGAGCGAACAGATGGAGAGGGATGGAACTGATACCCGTTCTGGGCAGGCCGGTGGGGTACTCAGTGACACAGTGACAGGGAGCTGGGGGTGGTTGGGATGCAGGCACTGGGAGTCAGAAGGGGGGCTGCGGATGTCCATTTACATGCAGAGTTTTGTCTTTTTTTTTTTTTTTAACGTTTATTTATTTTTGAGACAGAGAGAGACAGAGCATGAACGGGGGAGGGGCAGAGAGAGAGGGAGACACAGAACCGGAAGCAGGCTCCAGGCTCTGGGCCATCAGCCCAGAGCCCGACGCGGGGCTCGAACTCACGGACCGTGAGATCGTGACCTGAGCTGAAGTCGGACACTTAACCGACTGAGCCACCCAGGCGCCCCAGAGTTTTGTCTTTGTTTTCCTTTCTCGTTTTTAAAAGAGCTACTGAAGTCAAAGGCTGACGATAGACTTGATAGGCTCGTAACTCGAAAGATTCACTTATCCCATTAACTCAGGTACCTTTGGCATTCATGTCACTGTGGCAGTAATGCCTAAATCAGAATCTCTCCCCCTTATGTTGACCATGGTGATCCTTAATCATCTTAGGCTCTCAGGGTCTCCTGGGCCCCACCAATCAGCCCATCACTGCTGCCTTCCAAAGACAGGTCTCTGATGAGAATATCATGGAAGCTCTAGCGGAGTATCTGGTCATCAAGCCCCAACTTTCTAACCGTCTCTTCTTTTTGTCTTTTAGGCATGAAGAAAACAGTGGTTTATAGTTCACTAAAACTACACAAAATGTGGAAAGGATGGCTGAGGAAAACATCCTGATTTTGCTTGCTTTTATATGTTATGTGTAGTTGAATAAAGTGATCCTTTTTGACAGAACAGCGTTTGTCACTTTGACCCATTGCTTGAATTTGAAGATACCTTGGTTTGTATAATATTTGATTTTGAAATGTATGTGTTAGATATATATCCAGGGGGGACCCAAATGCCTTTGAGGACTTACCATGAGAAGAGAAGAATCCTCTTTACATACAAAACCATCTGTGTCCTGCTCACATAGGAGCTTTAGCTGTGGTCTGCGTTTTGGTACGTGAGAGTCAGTGAACGGAGAAATTATGCGTACGGTTGTGGACATGCAGCCCACGGGTGACAAGCAGGGAAGTGTGGCTACCTCTGTCTCTCAAGTCTCCTCTTCACCTGGCTTTTTCCATTGAGAGCTCACAAGTGTCATGTCAACATTTTCCTAGACCTAGGCTTTTTACATTTCTCTTTGTTCTCCTAGAAGGTGTATGACAGTGACTTGTGGGTGAGGAGCCTGTGACCATCCCTTACAGAGCCTTCCCTATCGTAACAGGAATGTTTGAGTAATAGGCAACCCCCGCAGAGGGCCTTGAACAACAAACAATACATTAGCTCAAAGAACTGAAAAGCTAACGGTGTGGTGGGCTTCAGGGTTGGTTTGATCCAGCAGGTTAACAGGATCGTTCAGGACTGTTTCTCTCCAACTCTTCTCTCTGCCTTTTGTGGTGTTGGCCTCATGCTGAGGCTGGCTCCCCTCATAGTTCTGAGACTGCTGGCAACAACTTCAAGGGCTATATGCTTCCCCATTTGCGTTTGGGGAGACAGAGCGGGTTCCCTTCAAACTTCCTCTTAGAAAAGCAAGAAAACTTTCCAGCAGCTCCCAGCAGGCCTCTGTCTGGTTTCATGGGCCCTAAGTGGGTCACTTGCCCATCCCTGAGCTAGTAAGTACAGAAGCATGGCTGATAAGCTTAGGCCGGAACCACTTGCTCCAACTCAAGAGCCAGCTGTCCCTCAAGCTCATGGACTCTGGGGAAGGTGTGGACACCTGGACCTTTCCTGATGAGGTGACCCAAATCCTCATTCCTGAAGGAGCTGTGTCCTTATTGGATTGCTGTAGTTAACTCTTGTTAACTTTTACTGTTGAGCATGGCTCCAGGTTTTACGTATTGAACAGTGAGAATTTGATAGCACTTACTATTCTGCAGAACATTTCTCATGACTCTTATCTTCATAGCAATACTATCAGTAGGCACTATTATCCAACTTATAAATGAGGAAACTGAAGCTCAGGTTAAGTAATTTTCCCAAAGTCACACTGCTAGTTAGATGGGAAAGCCAAGATTTCAAATCCAAACATTTGAATAGTGTGAATCGAGCTCAGTGCTCTTAACCACTGTGCTATTCCACAACTGAGCACACAATAGGTGCTCACTAAAGGGTACTGTTATTGTTGATATTACTTCCATTTGACTGATACCTGTCTTTTGGAGACTCTTTTATTCACTGCCCTGCAAAACTAACCAGTTAACTAAATAAAGCTTAAATAAAGAAATTTCTCTGATTTCTGTCCAGAAGTGTTTAAAACACTGTTCCAAAATTTACAGTCATCTAATGAAAGTCCTGATCCCCAAAAGAGTGCTTCCTCACAAATTGAGAGTCATGGCTTCTAGTGATAACATTTCCCTTTATTACCCAGGTGACCTTGGAAAAAGCTTTGGATTTGGTGACCATAACCTCATGATCAGATTCCAGGTCAGCTGTACCACAAATCAGCCAGGTGACATTGGGCCCTCTCTGAAGGAGTTGATGGTTGAGTGTTCACACTCCGCTCAAAGGTGAGCAGGCTTTGGGAGACTGGAGAAAACGTAGTTGGCTAAGACCATACATACAACAGTATCCAACACTGGTGGGCTGCCTTGGCCCACAATCATATGTCAGAACCCAAGTGACCCCTAGATGAATGTCAAAATGTCCATGTGGTCAGAGATATTCCTTCATACTTTGTCACATAACTTCTTAGTAATTCTGTAGCTCCCTGGGGGGTTGCTGAGGGGTCTCTAGGGCCAGAGTCTTGGATTGCACTACCAGCTCAATCATGAATTCCTTTTAGGTACTATGTGGCCGATGTGTCTTCAAGCCCCATGTCTCCCTCCTGAGCCTTGCCCTTCTGTTGTCCTGGAGCTGGCCGTCACCTTAACAACCAGATACCGCTGCATTAGACTCAGAGAAGATGCTCATTGCTCTAGACACTGTCCTCCCAAAAAGTTACTGAGCTAGTCTAACCCACAGAAATGCCCATTCTCCAAATCCCAACTTGTGGTAAGGAGCAAATGAATTAGTTTTATAGGCACAGGTGGGTATCTGTGAAAGTACTTTTAACAAGTGAAGGATTGAATGGAACAGGGAAAATGACCTGACATTTCTTCAAGGCCTATTCCCTAATTTATGCCTGAGGAAACAGAGGCACAGAGGAGTTAGGCCTTGCATGCCATTTCAAAGCTGGTAGATGACAGCCAGGATTCAAACTGGGCCATCAGTTTGCAGAGTCCTGCCTCTTAATCTCTTTGCTAAACTATCTTTCAATCACTTAGTGTTCATCCAGTCTGAAGAGAAGGACTAAGTGGTGTTCAGCCCGTTGCTTTATGAACAAGTAGGAGTTACCCTGCAGAGAAGGAAAGACTCTCCCGGGCACAGGGAAGTGCTCGTTCAAAAGCCCTGAATGGAGACATCACAATGTGTTTAGGGAACTAAAGCTAGCTCAAGATGAATAAAATGCCACGCAGATACTGTACAAAAGTGAGGCTGGAGAGATAACAGAAGTCAGATCATAAAGGTCTCCTAAGGCCTCTTAGTGTTATTAATCATTATCCCCGGAGCAGTGGAGAGCCAGTGGGGGACTGGAGAGTGGCCAACCTGGATTTGCATTTTATAAAAATCATTTTGTCTGCAACATGAAGAATGGATTAGAAGGGACAAGACCAATCATCCGAATGAGAGATAACGGCAACCTAGAGCAGACTCATTGAGAAGGGACCAAAAGGGACGAATTCAAGTGATGTTCAGGAAGTGGACTCAGTTCAACTTGGTGGTTGAATATGAAGAAGGTGCCAGGGTTCTGGCTGGGCAACTGGGAGAATGGTGTGCTATTTCTCAAACTGGGGATTCAGGAGGAGGTGCAGATTTGGGGTGGCATGAAGACAGTGATAAATTCAGGTCTCGGCATGCTGAGTTTGGAATGTCTGTGGGAGATGTTCAGTAGACAGTTGGCCACACAGGTCAAAAGCTGGAAGTGTAACCAGGAGAGTTGGCAGGTAGTAGATTGTGGGAATGGACGAGATTCCCCTAGGAAGTCTATAGAGTATGAAGAGAAGAGAGCCAAGCTCACAACACTGGGAAACACCAACATGAAACAGGCAGGAAAAGAAAGCTAAGGGGTAATGGACAGGTCAGAAGAACACCAAAAGAACAAGGTGTCGGGTCATACAGGGGACGGTGAGGAAGGATTAATTGTATTACTGTTCCCCAGAATAATCTGTTTTCCTTCCCTGCAGTTCCCCACCCTGTGGGAGGAGTAATTTTCTTCTCTCCAAGGACATCAGTTTGGCCTTATGACTTTTTGTGGCTAATGAAGTGGGAATGGGAGTGATATGTGTCACTTCTGAGCAAAATTTTAAGAGCCAGCCCAGAATTTACCATGTCTCATTTTCCCTCTGCCACAGGACTGGCGGTGTTCCAGATAGAGGCTACTCCATCAGCCTGGGTCCTCATTCAGTTGGGAGGCTCAAAAAAGGTTTCATGCATTCAGTTGATTTCTTAATTTTTGGCATGGGCACCCAGACATAAATGAGGGAAAAATGATTTTTTTCAACAAACAGTGCTGGGACAAGTGGATATCCACATCAAGGGAATTAAGTTGAACCCTTACCTCCCACCATGTATGAAAATTATCTCAAATGGATCTAAGCCTGAATATAACAGCTAAAACTATAAAACTCTTAGAATAAAAGATGACTAAATCTTCATAACCTTGGATTAGTCCATGGCTTCTTAGACATGACACCAAAAGCACAAGCAACAAAAGAAAAAAAAATTGACGAATGGGATATCATCGAAATTTAAAACTTACGTGCTTCAAAGGACACCATCAAGAAGGTGAAAAGGCAACCCACAGAAAAATGAGAGAAAATATTTGCAAATCATATATTTGACAAGGTACTTGTACCTAGAATATATAGAAACACTTATAATTCAATAATAAAAAGATAAGTAACCATGTTTTAAAATGGGCAGAAGATCTGGATACACATTCCTGCAAAGAAGATACACAAATGGCCAGTAAGCACATGGAAAGATGCTCAACATCAGTCATCAGGAAAATGCAAATTGAATCACAACGAGACACCACTGTATACCCACCAGGGTGGCTATAATCAAAAGATAGAAAATAGCAAGCGTTGATGAAGGTGTGGAGAAATTGCAACCCTCATACATTGCTTGCAGGAATGTGAAATAGCACAGCTGCTGTGGAAAACAGGCTGGCAGTTCTTCAAATGGCTAAACATAGAGTTACCATATGATCCAACAATTCCACTTATAGCTATAGAGCCAAGAGAAATGAAAACATATGCCCACAAAAAACTTGTACAAGAATATGCATAGCACCATTATCCACAATAGCTAAGAAGTGGAAATAACCTAATATCCATCACTGATGAATGAATAAATAAAATATGGCATATCCCACACAATGGAATATTATTCAGCATTAAAAAAAATTGAAGGGGCACTGGGTGGCTCAGTCGGTCATAGGACTTTTGATCTCAGCTCAGGTCATGATCTCAGGGTTCGTGAGGTTGAGCCCCACATCAGGCTCCGAGCTGACAGTGTGAAGCCCTCTCTCTCTCTCTCTCTCTCTCAAAATAAATAAATAAACATCTAAAAAAAATAATGAAATACTGACAACATCCTACAACATGGATGAACCTTGAAAACATTATGCTACTATAGAGAGACAGAAATTAGATTAATAGTTACCCATGGCTGGAGGTGGGTAATGGAGGGCTTAGGAGTGACAGCTA